GGGGGGGGGGGGGGGGGGGTGGCTGCTCCAAGGGTGTACCTTGCTAAGCTCCACGGATGCTCGGATCTCCAACAGAAAGATGTACGACATTTAAGGCACATCTATTTGTATGTGTGTGTGTGTCTATATGTGTATATATATATATAAGAGAGAGAGAGAGAGAGATGGATAGATAAATATACAAATAGATGGATAGATGCTCCTTCATTGAAGACTTATGATGACTGAGGCATCTTCCGCAAGCTAGCTACTGGGAACTCCCGGCATAAAGAGTGCCGGCAAGCAGACTTCCACAGAGGCCTTGTGCAAATGAGCCCGAAGAGTGGTGGGCTTAGGGTGTACCCATAGGCCCCTAAGCAGTTCCTGTTTGGGATTACCTTACAGGATTCGAAATATGAACCATAAAAACGAAATATTTAGGGGCCTATGGGTAGGGTTTAGGGCTCCAAGGGCTCATTCAATGCCAAATTCAGGGCCTAGAGGCTTTGGGGTGTGCGCGCGGGCCTTTGAGCAAGAAATGGGTCCTGTTCTCTTGTGAGCCCTTGAGAACCAACATAGCAACACCGGATTTCGCAATCCCTTGGAGTTTTGTGATAAACCGCCTAAACCCTGAACCCTAGGCCCTAAACCCAACCCTAAACTCCTAAACCCTAAGAACACCACAGTAATTACACCGAAATCGCTGCTTTCGTGTCTCAAATCCAAGCTCAAGGGCTCAGAACCCCTCAGCCCCACAGTCCCGAGCCCGCAAAACCCGAATCCTGGGATTAGAGTTTAGGGTCTGTGGTTTAGGGGTTTAGGGTTTTGGGATTTGGGTTTAGGGTTTGGGGGTTTAGGGCCTGGGGTTAGGGAAGACGCATGATCAATGCCAGTTATTCCTGCAGGTAACATGGCACCGCACTTCTGGGGACTGGAGTTTCGGGGTCTTGAGTCTTCACATTTGCAGCTGAATCTAAGACGTTTAGGCGGAGGTTTAGGGATTTAGGGTGTAGGTCTTGGGGGTCTATACCTCAAGCCGTTATTATCGTGCTCACCTTTTGCAGCATGCCGGCCATGCAGCAAGTGTCGTGCCTAAGTACTAAGATATCATACCTCGGAGCTTGCGGCAACTGGTGCCGCCCTGGCTCTATCACGTGTCCTGTGCTGCCAGCTCTTCCGTCTCCGACACGCCTGCCAAAAAGAGGCTGACCTTCAGCCCGATCTGAGGCCACTTTTTGATCAAGTCAGCGTAAGCCGGCAGTGAGAGCACCTGACCTGCATGCATTTCGATGAAGGAGAGGCATGACTTTTCCAGCTGCTTCGCCTGGAGGAGATGTGCCTGGACGAGTATGCTGCAGACCGTTGATGCATTGATTTCTTCGGAAAGCTTTGCTTGGCACCATACTTGAAGCCGTTTCACTTGATACTTGTGGCTCACAGCCAAGAGTACCTGAATCGGTGACCGCTGCAGATCACAGGTCTCGTTCTCGGATTCGCTTGAGGTTGAAGCTAAAATCAGCGCCTGGGCGTCCGGCAGTCGATCGGTGTACAGAAACTGCAGAAAGGCTTTGAATGTGACGACATCAGAATCCTCGATGACGATGACTTTAGAGACACTCTCCTGCAGGCCTGCCGTCAGCTGTTTGCTGAAGACCTCGGATCGTGCACAGAGAACCTGCGAGTGTGCTTGGATCACCTCCTCCTGCACTATGAACCGCACGTCGCTGCAAGTTCCTTCCTCCAAGAGCGCGCGCATGTCTTCGGTCATCGTGGGCTCTGGAACCTCTGCGGGGCGGGTCGAGGGTTTCGAATCTGGCTCTCCTTCAGGACGGACTTCAAGCTCGAACTTCACGGTCAATGCGTCGTCCATCACCCACTCGGACTGCAGCAGCTGCTCGTAGCTCAGCCCAAAGATGCCCTGCGAAGCAGGAGGCTCATCATCCGGCCAATGCACATCAGGGCCGTATGCAACAGGCTCATAGGTGTGATCGTCGGTGCCATAGTGGATGACATTCCGGGTCTCGTCCCACTGCACGAACTCTCCATTCTGCTCCTTGATAAAGATGCGATATCGAAGCACAAAAGTGCTACACGTACCCACCACTATTCCGATAGACCCATGTGGCCCAGCATTATCAGCTTCATCTGCTTCTCCTTCTTCTTCAAACGCGTAATAATCTCCCCAGAACATCCTGCTAGCGACTGGGTTGAATGCAAACTGGAAGGAAGCGTCGCCCAGTTCGAAGATCGGCGACCACACTGAGCGTTCCGACATCTGCTGATCCAGCACCATTTTCAACCAGGAAAACCCTGTGATCCTCCACACGTACTGGCCCCTCAGCACCGTCTCCGCACAGTCGGTGCTTGCTGCACCACTCCCTTGCATCACTGAGTCGAGAAGAAGACGCTTCGGTCGAAACCTTCCTGAAATATCCTTATCAATGCCCTCTCGGAATGTAACCGTAGCTTGATTGCGCTTTTTTGCCTCGATGTGCCGCTTTCCAGCTCTCGCCGCAGCATCTGCTGCTCCTCGGCTTGCTCGACGTCGGCTAAGAGTTCTGGGAGCCTGGCCTCCTCTGCTTCGGCCTCTCGCCGGGTGGCCTCGATCTCGGCTCTGAGCTCTTCCGCAGACATCCCGGCCATGGTGCGGCTGGTGCTCCAAAGGCCCCTATTCCTCGCACTCAAACTAGCTTTAGCCACTGAGCTGCGGCAAGAGAAACTGCTGCTGGTGGTGGTGGTGGTGCTAGCCGTGGCAGTAACAGTAGTAGTACTTGTAGTGGTGGTAGTGGAAGCAGTAGTAGTAGTAGTCGTCGTCGTCATCGTCGTAGTAGCAGTAGCGGTAGCGGTAGAGGTAGAGGTAGCGGTAGCGGCAGCAGCAGCAGGAGCAGTGGAAGCAGTAGTAGTCGAAGTCGTAGTAGTCGTAGTCGTAGTAGTCGTAGCAGTCGTACTGTTGTGGTAGTAGTAAGTAACAGTAGTAGTCCGTCAAGCTGACTGGGAGGCCCTGCTTGCGCAGCTGTCTTCGGAACCAGTTCGCAGCCAAGCTTGGTGACAGGATCAGTAAAAAGGCCTGGGCTGGGTCGGATTTGTTTGGGCGCGCTTCGGGGGTTTCCCGGCTAAACCCTAAACCCTATAAACCCTAAACCCTAAACCTTAAACCGGCTCTGGTCGCCTTGCGTCGGGTGTTTCCAGGGGTTTCACAGAGAGTTCGATAAGCCCCCCTGAAGGTCTGGGGTTCGAGGCTTACATAGCTTAGGGTTTATAGGGTTTAGGAGTTTAGGGGTTTAGGGTTTATGGCTTATAGGGTTTAGGGTTTAGGGTTTATAGGGCTTATAGGGTTTAGGGTTTATAGGGCTTATAGGGTTTAGGGTCCCTGATCAATCGCTCCGAAGCACTCGATACCGAAGACACAGAGCTGAAACCCCAACGGGGCTTCTTCATATTATGAGGGTGTCCTTCTTAAGGGTCCTTTCTTATAAGGGTGCCATACTATTTTGGGGACCTAAACACGGACCCGAGTTTGGAGAACTATCCTTCTTTACTTCTTTGGAGCCCGAAAACAGAGCCCTAAACTCCATACCGTACCTGTAACCGAAAAGACCTACCTTTTTAGGGTTCCTTATTATGGTTTCTATATATAGTTCCTTAAAAAGGTAGGTCTTTTCGGCTACAGGTAAACCCTAAACAAAGCCCTGAGGTTCTTGCGAGACTGGCACCATCAGGGAAGTCGTCGCTCAAACCTGGCTCAATGCAGTTGAAACCCTTAAAACCTAAAGTCTCCATTGTAGTTCTTTTTTGAGGATACCTTATAAAATCCTTAAGATATAATTGGCTAAACCAAAAACAGGAACTACAATGGAGACTACAGGAAGGTTCGTTCCCTTAAGGGGTCTAGGGTGGCAGAAGTGTTGCTTTGAGGGTACCACAAAGGCTCCTGTATGGGTTTACCGGTATTTCGGCCATCAAAGGAAGCTTGTTACCGGGATGAGGGCGGGTAGGGTTTGGGCTGAGGCTTCAGGGGTCAAGGCGCTTAGTGACTCAAGGGCTGCAAGTTGCAGAAAGAGGCTCGGGAATCGTCTCAAGACCCCACGTTGTAGTGCTTCTGCCAACCAAGATTTTAAAAACAAAGACACTATAGGCAAACACGAAACACAAGGGCGAACATGATCCCGATGAGCGGGAATTGCAATCTTACAGCATCCCTTATGGTACCCTCAAAGAAACCCTTCTGGTACCCTTAAAGGAACCCTGTAAGGCTACAAAGAGCAAACTCCCCCTCTGAGCGCTTTTGGGAAAAAAAAACCTGAGATTCCCACCGGTACGGAATTGCACGTTTTTTTTTCAGGAAACTTCCAGAGATTCCGTCCAGACCCAGACCCCCAAACGCTGTGGCTGAGATCCATGTAGGAAACTTAGCAATATCCACATTATGCATAGGGCTCCATAGTAGTTCCTTGTTGTGGTTTAAAGTTTATATTTAGGATCCTATACTATAAGGTAATCCCAAAAAGGAACCACTATGGAGCCTGTGGGTATGGTAACTCAAATTAAGCTCCTTAACAGCAACCCAGTCCTTGGGCGCTCAGTTTCAAGCTCGGAAAAACCTTGCAACTGCCCTGTGAACACTGTAGAGCAGCCCTAAAAAAGTGGTACCCTCTTTACGGGGTTCCTCTCGGAGGACTATAGGGTCTAGGGTCTGGGTTTAGGGTTTGGCAAGAGGGTTTAGGGTTCATCGCACTAGTAAAGACAGCGCTACAAACCCCGTAGCCCCCCCCCAACCTGTAGCCCCCGACATTACATTATAGTAGGCCATGACCTCATAATTTTTTGAGTAGAGCCCTGAGACCCCCAAACTACAGAGGAGCGCCCAACAAATGGGTAGTTCTCTACATTAGGGTCCTTCTTGGGTCTCCAGTATAGTACGGCACCCTTATACAAAGGACCCTAAAAGGGATCCAAATTTAGA